GACCCTTTTGTGCGTAGAAGAATAGAGGTGCGTATGAATGCGAGATTAGCCGTGCAGAGATATGGGCGAGATATGGAGCGTGTGTTTTCATTAAGACACCGAGATACGGTTGGGAAAAATTAAAACTGTGTTTTAATTAAGGAGGAGAGATATCTCGGATCGTACCGGTTGTATATAAATTATGCGCATTTTTGTTTAGACGAGGAATCAAATATGCCGGCTGTATTGTATTTCGTTTGCATACATATACATATACATACCTTTTACATCGGAATATCGAAACAGTATTAATTACACGTACGCCTGTACATTCGTATTAACAAAGTGTATCTCATTGAATAATATTATTCATCGAATAATAGCCGATACTTGTGTGTATTCTAAAAAAAAAATATACGAAAACAAATAAATCGACACGATATCGAATCATTAGAGACGGAAAAAAAATAAAAAAAAAAAAATAGAAATCCATTCTTTTCTACTTCCTCTTACGCATACACTTAAAATTTCCACCATCTTTTTAACCCTCTCTTCCTTTTATCCTCCCTCTACGAAAGAAAATTTTACACGATCATAAAATTTTTAATCGATCCTTTACACCCCCCTCCTCCCCTCCTTTATTGCCATATTTAAAATCCATCTCATGAAAGGATCGAAAGAGAGATCTTAAGAGAGCATCGATCACCAGATAGTTGATGCTTCGTATCGTAGTTTCAAATTAATGTAAAAAAAGAAGGATGGGACGACGCCCCCCCTCGAACTTCCCTTCGAACGGGGCGGAAGGGAAGAACAAGGTTGATTCCGGGGAAACGAATTCCCGTGGAATTCGCGGGCGAATTCTTTGGCGTTGCGCCGAAGCTGGAGGAAGGATCCCCTGGCGGAAGAGGGGGAGGGGGGGGGGGTCTGGAATTCCCGGCGCGCTAAATAAGGTCGCGTTCGCCTCGAACAGAGAACCCCGCAGCGCAGCGCAGCGCAGCGCAACGCAGCGCAGCGCAGAAACGCTGGACATCGGAGCTCGGTTGGAGATTGCCACGCGGAATTTTCCGCGGAGGAATGGAATTTTTCGCGCGATTTTTATCCCCAAGGGAGAGGGGAGGGGAGGGGAGGAACTAAATTCTGAGGGGGCGAAAATGTCGCCTGATTTCACCCCCATTCCATCCCTGATCGTTAAACGACTATACAAGATCAAAGGAAGTGGAGGATCGAGTGATCGATGATCGATCGACGCTTGAACACACATTGGGGAATTTTATGGATTTTTATGGTGAATCGTAATTTTAAGATAAATATTGCGGAGAGAGGAGGGGGAGGGTGGATAGGAGGATGGTTTCGCGAAAGGAAGAGAAGTTTCTCGTGCAATGAAATTAAATTGATAATTAATCAGGTTTAATGGACGGGTTTTATGGATTGTAATGAATCGTAATTTTTGCCTCGTATACATAGATAATTATAGGAGGCTTAACAAAGGGACGGTTAGAGCGAAATTAATAATGGGCGAGTTCAACGATGAATTAGATTTAATTATGGATTTTATGATACGGATATAAAGAACGGTAAACTTCTCCTTTGTTTGCGATATGGATTAAAATGGGGGGTTTTCGAAGGATAGTGTAGATTTAAAATTCATACGGGTGAACGGAAGTGGAGATTGAAGGACTGTTTAAATACGATACGATTATAAAAACACCTTGGCGTCACGTTGCATTTATGGGATTGAATTAAACGCGTATCTGGCTGCTAAAGCGTTACGTTTTGCAACGTTTTCCCCAACGAAGGTCGTTTCAATTTTTACATTCCCTACTTGGTAAACCATTTCGCCGAAATGGTGATCCTCGAAATTTTATATCGATCGTTATCAAGGGAATTTTTTTTTTAAATTTGCTGGACAATCGAGTGGAAATATTGATTAAATAACCAATTGAAACTTTTACGAAATATGCGAGCGTAAAACGTCGAAACATTTGAAGTTTTGGAGTACATTTTTATCGATAATGCAACCTTTTCCCTTAGAAATAAAAGAATGAAACGATAAAATTTCGTAGTTAAACGTCTCTCTGACGTTTTAAATTTACGCATAGAACCGCTAATGGATAGAAAAAATTTGGAACGGGCAGAAATCTTGCGCTCATCGTATCGATATAGCGCAAAACGAAGATCAGGATGCTGGGTAATCTCATTTGAATGCGCGAACACACCGCGAAATAACAGTCCTTTAAGCTCGTGGCGAGGCGATTAATTGTCTCGTCGGCCACCTTTGCACGCAAATGCAAATCGATCCTCGCCTCGCAGGCGAAAATTACGATTATCCTCTGCGTGGAAATCGGGTGAAATCACTTTTAAACGAGCTCCATTTTTTCGGAATTATGTGAAAATTTCCAAGATTGTAACGGAGTTGTGCAACTTTTTTTTCTTGGATAGCCTTACGAAATCGGGATCAGAGGTCGGGAACGGTGTTAAATCGATTTTCTAACGTTTCTCAATTGACCGGCTTAGAATTGTAAAAGATCAGAGTGGGACGACGGAAGGAATACTAATGTTAAAGGAACGGTCTGCCGTTGGAATATTGAGAGGAGACTTTCGTACCGTACTCTATACCGTAAATTTCTCGAAAGTGGAATCGGATCTATATCCTTTCAACAATTAAATTCAACCTAAATCTTGCTCTCCTTCGTTATTCCTTCTTCTAATCTTCTCAGACCTCGAATTATTCCCCAAAAGTTAATCTGAAAATTAATTTCTAAATCAAATTCTAAATCTAAAAAAACCTCTTAAAACTTACCTAAATTATTTTAACTCGATCAACAGACGAACTTTTAATTTTAAACTTATATCAAAAGTAATCAAAAAAAAGATCGTAACGTCGACTTCGAACGCAGGACGATTATTCGTCCATTTTCCTCGCATCTCGATAACGAAGAGGCGAAGAAAGCCTCGCGTCGATATATTCTTCACGGTTCAGATCCTGTCCACAGGATCCCCTTTCCACACCGGCATCGATCCCTTATGCAACGCGGATTCTACTCGCCTCCGGATCGTTAATTTAATTCGCGCTTTCCATTTAATTAATCCCAATTACGCGTGGCGCCGAGATATAGCGGCACTCGAGAACTCTCCTACTCTTTTCTCTCTCTCTCTCTCTCTCTCTCTCTCTCTCTCTCTCTCGCTTCCACGCGCTCGTCCACCCGAGTGCACCTTTAATCCGCGAATACCCGCTGCTCTCGCCGATAAATTAATGACCGACGCCGGTTATTGGCCGGTTAAGTCGATTAATAGTTCCGGGTTAACGAGGCGAGCCATTTTATCCCGAAATCATATTGCGAAAACGCTCGAGAATTTAATGCTTTTGGTTAATAGAAGCTACGCTTACAAGTTTACGAGCCAGAGAATTCTCTCTGGGTTGTACGTCCAAGCCTTTTGATGTATTAATTCTACAGCAGAGATATATTTATCTTTAAACAATATTGGAAAAATATTTCGAGATGTTTCTTGAAATTTCAATTTTTCTTTCCATTTCTTCGTCTAACGAAGAACAACAACTTTTATCTTTTTCTGCTATTCTAAATTGTCACAAGATCCAAACGACTTGTTTCTTCTGTAACCAGTCAAAGTTTTATAAAAATAAAAAAAAAAAAATTCCCTTCGAAAGAATTCAACGCGAATTAGATCTCGAGAGGAGGATACGCGTAGGGCCTTGGCGGGAACAACGTTTTCGCGCGATGGGATCAGCTGACATTTCCTAATCCCTCCTCCCCCGGAGAAGAAGGGGGGAGCAAGCTGGCGCGGTGCGGAATCGGGGGACACGATAGCGCGCCTTTCACTCGCAGCGCGGAGGATTCTCTCCTCCGGCGTCGTCTTCCACCCGGGGCGCACAAAAGGTTACATTTACATGCGGCGACGCGCACGTCGCCGGCATGTCATTGTCTTCGAGGTTACTGCCATCGGCACGTGCGAGGAGAATGTCGAGTGCTCTTACACGAGGGTGCCATTGATTGAAAACGAGCACGTGCAACACCCGTCTCTCCGTGGCCTCCTGCCTCTTCTCCTCGTCCCCTTTTCGGAATCCAATCCCAGGGACTCCGTTCGTATCGAAATTTTATTATATGTGCAATGCCGATAAATAAATTCTGCCAACAAGGTCAAGATTGATCGTTAACATCAGAATTGTCCAATTATTGAGGATACGAAGAATATTAAAGATACTGTCGATTGTTGAAGACGAGTAAAGATGGCGAGGGAAGAGATTTACGAGATACGTAACGCGTATATATTGAAAACTGAAGCAAGTAGTTATTTTCTGTCTATATTGTATGATAAGTAAAACAAGTCCTGTGTTATGTATATATATAGATTCTTATTCATGTACTTTTTTTAATGAAATATCAACGAGGATAATTATTTTAAAATAATATAACGAAATCGTAAAAACCGCTATCGATCAATTATTATTATTTAATATCGAGTTGAAAACACGTCCACGATTTCTATCTGAGATCGAAACTAGTTTCTCGAGATGCCACGTCCACTTTGAAATCATCAGATACGTATCTTTCATATCTTCGTATCACATTCTATGTTCGATTGATATATCCAAGAGGATACGTGTGATTATATAACGATTCATATATGATACGTACGTTACACGAATACAGTGATACATTTTTTCAATTATTAAGAAAATCGTATGTTAGAAACAACAAGTTCAAGAGGCCCTGAAGCGTTCACACTTTAACTATACATCTTCCACAATAGTTTCCAGAGACCGTGTTACGCGTGGACGATTATTCACTCATCGATGAATTATTTCAAAGTGGAAGCGATGCTCGCGGCTCCCTTTTCCGCCACGTCCAAGAATTCTATCTTCCCGTGGGGGGATGCGCGCTTATTTATCGACTAATAAATTGTTCACCAATAAATAAAAGCCTTATTACAAGCAACAGCGCGTGAAATGCGCGGTGTGGTTGGAAGCGGCGAACCGGCGATAGTAATCTACCGTAATTCGACATTCCGCTCCGGGCCTCAAGGCGGCAAAATCGAAACGGAAACGAATCGTCGTATCGAGGCTTCTTCCTCCTCCTCGTCCTCGAGATCCTGCCTATCATCCAACATTTGTTATATTCTGTTTCGTTGAGAGAGGAAAATCGTGGGATGCGATGCTGATTTCCACGATGGTTTGGCATCTTTTCCTCCTGTTATGGAATTTTATGCTATGAATTGTAGAGTAGTTTTGTACATGGAGGATTCAACTTGTAAATTGTAGAGTTAATTGTAAAATTTCTAGGCTTGGTCGATTGAAATATTGAACGCTATTTTGATAATTATCCGCATATTTTCTTATGAATTTCTGGAACAAAAATGGAATAAATTATTAATTATATATAATTGATGAATCTTCAATTATTGAATTCCGATTTTAATAAAACTCAAAATAACTTTCTTACACCGATTCATATACACGAGGAAGAAATACGAGATAATAATGCGTAACAAATCTGTTGAACGGATAACAATCGAAATGAGAGACAGAGAGGATAAAAGGATAGAAATCGCGATGAATTAGTATTTATTTATCGTGAGCAAAAGTTGGAGGCTGTGGCACTCCATTAGATACTGGTTTGTTGATCATCGGGAAAGGGAATGGCATTTCCTTTTATCGTTCCTTCGGCCTATTCAATTAATTGCGTCGAGGACAGCAGACGCCGACAAAAGGGTGCAATCGTGAAAGTCGAAAGCAACGGCTGAACCGCGTGCCACTCGGCCTTAGAACGGTTCCAGCCACAGGACCTCAATTAAGCTAATTAAGAGCAATAATAGCCACGCGATAATTACAGGATCGTGCAAGCAAGCCAAGTTGGACCATGGATCAGCCTTCTGGTAATCATCCTCGATCGTGATAACTTGGAATCTAGGTGAGCGTGTAAGAATTACATAGTATACTCGAGATTCGAATATCTTGTAAAGATTGAAAATTAACACTATGAAGATTCACATCAGTAATTAACAAAATACGTATAATGCGTCAAATATTCCAAAAAAAGTGTCATCATAGTGTTAAATTAAAAATTATCTTTTGAATTTTGTAGAATGTTATCATGGAGAGATTCATACAGTTACATTTTTTTTCATGATAGATTTTTAAAGTTGTTTATTTATTAATTGATAAAAGTATTCTGTAAAAAAAAAAAATTATTAACTGATAGACAAAAATAATTACGTATAAAAAATGAAAAAAAAGCGAATAAATGATATCGTATAATTAGATAGTTCGCGTCGTACATCAAAAAGTAATTCGTATCAATGAATCGCACATACGAGGATTTATTAAATTTTCATACACACCTGATGCAATTACTTTCTAGAAATGATTATCGACCATGCGAGCAATAGGTAGACAGACTTTCAGCCACGTTTCGTGGAATTTCTCTTCGAAACGCTTTTATTATTCCCCGCAAACTCTCTACATTTTTCTATTAGTCACAATCCCGACATACACTTTTCTTGCAAGTCGTCTTCGCAGATTATCGACAACCGTCAAGTCGTTCTTCGTGTGTCGGCGAAAGTGTTCACGGCTTGTACTAATGAAGTCGCGTATCCAGTTTTTCTCCAACGCTATGCACCTGTTCATCTTTCTTTATTCTCAACGTATTCAGTAAAATTATCAATTATCTTTAATTTATGAAAAAAAATCTTGTTTTTACGTCTAAAAGAATAATAAAATAAGATAACTTCCAATATTATCTATTTAACGTTCATTAATTCTTAATTTTAAAAGTTAATTCGTAATTTTAAAAAATTTATATAATTAATTTAAAAATGTTAGCTTTCAAGATTCGCAATCAATTTTTTTTTAAATAGAAATCTCTATTTTCAACGAGAAAAATAATTTTTAATAAATAGAATATAATTTGCGAATAAACATTTAATAACGACAAAATTAAATCCAGAATCAGTTTTCTAATTCTAATCAAGAATGAAATTTTTATTTGAATGTGAAAATAAAGCCAACAAATTTAAAAAAATTAATACGTCGTAAATTATTTCTAAATATCTACTTTTAAATCTTCGAAAAAACAATTTAAAATCAAATTTCACAAACTTACAACAAATTTCAAAATTCAACACAATTATCACTATTTATTTAATTCGAAATATTGCAACAATCACGAACCACAAAATCTCGAGTTAACGTTCCTCGTGGATAACCTATGATTCTCGCTCGTCTCTTTTTAATCACTGTTATTTAACAAAATTCGTTCGAGTCGTCGATATCACACACGGCTTCTTTGTCCACGATCAAAAGAATCATCAATCTCTTGTTCACTCGTTCAATTATCAGTTATATTTAGAATTAAGCTTATTAACTTTATTCGCTCGTAGAGTTTCTAACACGAAACACGACCGAACGTCTACGAAACGAGAGGTTAGCTGGGCTAGACTAATTGCATCGATTATTCAGGTTAATTGTACATAATTTTGCCAGGTGGCGCAACATGATCAAATATGGTGAAAATGATTGTCGAAATTGCATGAACGTGGTGTTTTCACTTCGAAAAAGTGGAGAAATTCGCGAACACGTTGCGACACTTGTGGAAAACCACGAGGAAATATTCGAAACTGTCGATGGAAATTTGTTTCGTGAAACGTGACAAAAGAAATCGTTTGAAACAACGGTTGTGGTGGATATCTAACCTCTCTTATGGTAGACTTCTAGACCGCAAAATTCTCAGGTATGTGACGTTTTTTGCTTTCTTACGATAAATCTCTTTTTTTCAAATTTGTTTGTCGACAAACAATATTTTAAATATAAATGTTTGATGCGCATTACGCATTCAAACTTCGAATCAAGTCTTGAAAAAGCGTGATCGTGAAAAATGTATTTATAAAGAGAGTAGCGAATAAAAGATTAAGAATCGTTGGTTTGAAAGATTTGGATGGATCGCGTGGTATTCCTCGTGATCGTTGTTGCGCTGTTACGATAATTGGAAGGAGAATCGACTTTCTCTCCCTGTCATTTGAGCAAAGGCGTCGATAAGAAGCGAATAAGAAGAGGGAAAAGTTTGACGGTGAAAGGCCACGGAATTAATCCGAGATAATGACGGTGGCGGAAAAAAACTAGCTCAACTGGAAGAATCCAGATTTTCCTGGCCGCAAAAAGCGGGAAAGCGCGAGGCGACTTTCTTGATGAGAGTGGTTTTTATTTTTTTGCGCGTGTAATTCGAGAAACGTGGACATGGACGGTGTGGACAAATCGTGATTGAGGGGTAATTAGGAGAAATGATCTAGATTTTTGTTTGATTGTCTTTGTTAGACATATTTTTTTTTCCATGCTCCACTTTCTATCCGAGAGAATTTATGATTCTAAAGTCAAATCGTTGAATCGTATTTTAGTATTGGCGAGTTTTATGAAAACTTGTAATAGGATCAATCAAATATAACAAGCCTGCTTTTGTAAATTTCGATTTTAAACTTAATTTTAGATCAATCAAATTCCACGTTTAATTTTTTCTCCTCCTATAAAAAGATATTCTATAAAATGCACACATTCTAAAAAAGACATGAAATAATGCGATGCAAAGTATACACATACCATAATATTTCAACGATGAAACGTATCTTATTCTGTAATTATATCCATAAAAATTTAAATTTGCATAAACATCCACAACTTATTGATCATAGGGATGCACATGATTGCACTTTAATTTTCACGGATCACCGACCAGAGAGGATGTTTGGACACACGTATCGCATACGTAAATGGTAATTCGGGAATCCCTTTCGAGAAATTCGCGGTCGAGGAGAGATGTCGTCCTCGGAAAGGACGAAAAGAAAGGGAAAAGAGAGGAAAGGAAAGGAAAGGAAAGGGCAAGGCAGGCCGGACTGTGGCCAGGAGCCGAGAGGCGCGCATGCAGCCGTTCGTCTCGGTTCGTCGACCTCGAGTGGAATGCGAGGCATAACCTACCGTAACACCACCACCAGCATCACCACGTCACCACCAACGGCACCGAGCGTCCATCGGAAGCATCGTGTGCCCCGTCCACCGGTCCACGCGAGGAAACCACCTGCGAATCAACCCTTCTCGATCGCCCAACCGACCCTCCCTCCCTCCCCCTCTCCTTCTTCGTCCCGAGCGAATGACTCATCTGGCGTAATGTGTCCTCCACTCTGTTCACCAGGTGATCTCGAGTACCAGCTGCCACTCGAAGAGATCGTGCGCGTCTCTCTGCAGGGTTTTATGGGTTCTGACGATACTATTAGGGGATACTTTTCTTTGACTATAAAAGAGATCCCTTTATGTGTCGTGGAATTTTGGAATTTTGGAATCAAATCTCGATTCCTCTTTTCCTTGAAATTGTTTAACATTAGGTTAAACGGTCGTGATATTACAAATTGTTACGAGAATCGGTCAATCGGATATTGAAGATATTCGTCTTCAGGTTCCTGAATTAAAAAAAAAAAAAAGGATAGAAAGAAAATAGAAAGGTTTCGATTGAGAAAAAAACGAATCGAATCATAAAAATTACAAAAGATACAAACATGCTACTATCATCTCTCGAGGTGGTCTTATCTGTATAACTGTACCTGTCCACGGCGGTCCGCGATTGCTCACCGCAATGACTATTAGTGATTCTCCCGTTAGGATACGTGGCAGGCGCCATAGAATCGCAACGATTAATGTTCGATTAACCTGACCATCGCTGTTCCGGAATTTCATGGAGAATTGCAGTTATAAATTTAAAAAATCTCTCTCGATCCATTTCTCTTTTTGCGTATTCGTCAACAATTCGACGATCATTCGGTCCAGAAAATGGCGCGTCGACTTTCTAATTTCTTTCTTTTTTTTCATCTTTCCTCTTTGCGTTCTTTTGTAAGAAATAACTCACGAAATATCCCTGAAATTGTTGAAATTAATCGCATAATCGCTATCGCTATCGCCCTTCTTTTCTTCGTAATTAAGAAATCTTTCTTCTTTTATTTATTTCGAATTTTTCATTGAAAAATCTAGTTTCTTAAATACCGCGTGGCTTACGATTATTTTCTCAAATTAGGCACACTTCAACTATTCCAAATAGATTTAATAAGCAAATAACAAGGCGAATAAATCAGGTATTAACGAGATAAAAAGACACAGCATAAACACGTAGCAGACTATAAACCTAGATATTTAATGCATTTTCCTCGGCTAGAACATTTTCACTGAATGCATAATAAATTTCGTTTCGTGTTTCGCGTAACGTGGTCAGGGTCGATTCGAACCCACCACCTCTCTCTCTTATAAATTCTCTCTCTCTCTCTCTTATAAATTCGTCTCGAATTGCTTGGATAATTCTTCGAGAAATTTCGTAGATCGATTTCGACGATCCAATGGCGAGGTGACGACGGGCTTACCTCGAACGAGGGTACAGTTATGGAGATAAGAGCCACCTCGAAGGATCACGATTACAAGCCGCGGCCGCCTCATCGTTCAACAGAATCTCCAACGGATCCAACGTATCTCGGTTATGCCGTTCCACCTAATTCCAGATCCTGTTTACAAACAGCGAGCGATAACGGGGATTACATGGTGTAATAAAGTGTTGCACAACTCGTATTCGAAAAGTGAATTTTCCACGTTGCGAAACGATGAAATTCAACTTAACTTACTTATTTAACGATTTATTTGAATCATTTATCGATGTTTGCTCTCTTGTTTGCTCTTTCGATTTATTCACGTGCTCGATTTTAAGATATTTGAACGAATCGAAGATATAAGATCTTTGTACAAGAATATTCAGATAAATTTCCACCAAAATCTAAATTTCGTCAAATTTACGCATATCCTTTAAGAACGTGATAAAAATTCCAATTCCCAAAAATAAATCATCGTTTATCAAATAAACGTTTCCACCTCTCGTTCCATCACGTAGAGCTTAAACACCATTTCCACTTCCTCTCCTTCCCCTTAAATCTTCTTAAATACCTCTCCACGAGTCTCTCACACGCGGATCAGAGAGGGCAGAATTTTTCCAAGCATCGAAGGAAAGTTGCAAATTCTCCCCGTGCCTAATTGCCAGGATCGAGGGGGCGTGTAGAAAAGAGCAGGAGGGGTTACAATATAGCCTAATGACCGCGTCACGAAGCAAAAGTCCATCATCAGCTTCTTCAAACTCTTCTCTCTCTTTCTCTCTCTTTCTTTCTTTCTTTTCCTCGGTATATTATTCGCTGACCGGAAGTCCTCGGGGCACTGCACTTAAATATGCATATACACACTGAAATGTTGAAGCCGGAGAGAAGAACATTAATGGGAGATTCGCTTTCACCGGCTAGATCTGTCCTCCTCGTCGCGTGTTGATCGTTAACGTGCTCCTCCTCCTTCGCTTCTTCTTCTTCTTCTTCTTCTTCTTTTTCTTCGTCGTCGTCCGAAGAAGCGGTCGGTGAAACCGACACGACCTTTCAAAGCCACCTCCTCGTGACCTTTCCAAGGCAAACACTGTTGCGCGTAGCAATCCTCTCTTTCGTTTTCTACCTCTCAGGAAGGATATTTTTTTTCTTTTTTTTTTGACTTTATAGATTTATCGAACGGGATTTTAGATTTTCTTGGAGAGGTGTCTTTAATCTTTTTTTTAAAAAATTCTCTATCAAATATAATCACGCGAAATTTAAAGTTATGCTTCGAGTTTATTTTATACACGAGGAGCTTTAAAATTTTACAATTTTTTGAATCGCAATAATAGAGAGGCTCATTTGAATTCCTTCAGTTGAACGCGTTACTCGAGGAGACGATGTGGATCGACCTTCCTGCTCGATTCTCCGTGATGTAACACTCGAGTATACGCTATAAAGCAGCGTTACGTGGATCGGTTGAGTCATTCATGAAAAGTTTCGTGTATAGGTTTATGTAGACACGCGGTATTATATCACTGTTTGTATCCGTTCCTCCTTTGAACAACTCGTCACTTCGTTTTTAACTGGTATTCGTTTCTGAATCTTTTATTCCTTCGTTACGTTATATTCATTTTCTTCGCTCGTAACGTCTCTGCACTCCCTTCAACAATCGATCCGAACTCTCATTTACCATTCTGATTTATCACTCGTGATCGAATCGTGAATAATAAATCTCGCTCCTCTTGAAAAAAAAAGAAACGAATTCTTTCAAACACTTCCTCTCCTCCCCCTATTTAACGATATTTTCCAGAATCGAAAAGATCCAATGCTCGATATTACGAAAATAAGAAGAAGAAGAAGAAGAAGAGAGAGAAAAAATAAAAAACTATTGAAGAATTCGCGCGAATCCGGCCGCGGTTTTTTGAGCGAAATCTCAGCTATCTCGGTGCCGAGTGGTGGAATGTAGTCCTGGATCGGGCCGTGACTCAGCCTTGTCGCCCGAATCAACCTTGAC